CTGCTGGGGGGAAGGAGGGAATGAATCCCTTGTTTTGCTTTGCTTGCGTGCACGGCTTTTGCTTTACCTGTTGAACTGTCTTTATCTCAGCCCACGAGTTTTCTCACTTTTACCCTTCTGATTCTCTCCCCCTTCGCACTGGGAGGGAGCGAGCAAGCGGCTGCGTGGGGCTGAGTTGCTGGCTGGGCTTAAACCACGACAGACAGAGTGAGAGAAAATGAGTAGCAAGGGGAAGAGGAAAGGCAGTGATGATTTATACCAGGTATAAATGCAACTCGATCTTACTGTGTATATTCTTTATTTTTTTTTTAAAAAGCATGTTTCTGAATGGTCAAGACTATTTTAAAATTTAATTCTGTCCCCCTTGGCTTTGTGTCACCTGCAAAGTTAATAAATATGTTCTCTGTTCCGTTATTTACAATGCTAATAACAAAAAGACCCAGACTGAAGCCATGCTCTAAGATCCCAGCAATATATTCCTTCCTTTTGACAGTGAGCTACTGCTTGCTATTCAGTCTTTTTTTTATAGGCCTTATAATACATTTATCCAGACTGTATTTCTCTAACTTTTTAATGAAAATGTCATGTAAGTGTCAAAAACCAAATCAAACTGACAGCAGGCTCTGTTCTATCCACAAGGCCTGTTCCTTACTAGAGGAGAAAATCAAGTTATCTGGCGTGATTTGTTTCTGACAGATCCAGGTTGATTGTTATCATTCCCTGGTTATCATCTAGGTGCTAATAATAGTTTGTGAGATTATTTGTCCCAGGATTTTTCCCGGGATTTAAGTTAGTTACACTGTATTTCTCTGGCTCCATCCCCCCTTTGAGAACAGCAATTTACAGTTGTCTCTTCTGTTTTTTAAGCATCTTATTCACCTTCTTAATTCCATCAGTTCTTTAACAGTCTTTCAATCACATCCACTAGACTCAATCTGAAAACATTTGGTTTATCTGAGTGCTCCTAATCTGTGCTTTACCTGCTCTGGGCTGAGATAGTTTTGTTCTTGGCATCGCCAGTCCTACCCATCTGCTCGCATGTGATCTTTTTTGGAAGTCTGATACAACCAAAGCACTTCAGCTTTATTATTTGTTGACAGATTTTCCTTCTTCTCTGTTGAGTAGGGGATTAACCTTTTTCTCTGTCTTCCTCTTAGTACAAATATACTTACAGAGCACTTGTTACCTGATAGCTCCTGCTAGTCTGTTTTGCTTGCATACCTGCTTTAGTCTTTCTTCTTCTTCATAATCTGACCTGCCTGCCTTTACATTTTCTTCATGTGCTTAAGGTCAACAGAGACCTCACGATGTGGCCAAGGTAACCTTACTGTTTTTCTAGTCTACTCATAATTGGGATAAATGCACCCCTAGAATTATTTTTCTAAAGCATCTTTCCTTTTCTTAACTTCTTTCTTTAGACTTGCTTCCTATGAGGTCTTAACTATTAATTGCTTGAGTCGAGCTTTCATGGTATCTGCTTTTATTTAGCTGTTCCCTTTCCTCCCTCTTCTATGGACAACAAACTGTTGTTTTGCAAATGCTCTTTTTTTGTGGGCAAAATACTGCCCACTTTCACATTCTCAGCCAGTTAGTCTTCACTGGCATTCTCTAAAAAAAACCCCAAACCACCCAACCTAGCCCTTATATGCTTGTGGCTAGTCCGTATTCTAAAGAAATTGCTACATCTGAGATACCAGTGCCTGATGACGTATTGCCATTCTAATTATACGTCTTTTTTGCTTCACCAAAGAAAAGCTCAGGGAAGGAGAAGTCCGAGGAACAGACCACAGACACTGCAAAAGGTGAGACTGAAGGAAATGCAGAGGCAAGGTATAAAGCTGCCTGGGATTGCTTCTAGCAGCAGCTCTCCTCTCGTACGTGACCGAGGGAGCGGAAAGGGATGGATCTGTTCTGGGTTCTTCATGGCAGTAGACAATCTGATCGGTAGACCCCTTGAGAGAAAATACTCTGTGCTTACCTTCGTGAGCACTATTTTAGAAACAGTGGAAGAAAAGAACTGCCAAAATATTGGTGTTAGTGCTGAGCTGCGTGTTTGGAGTACTCAGGCTGTGAAGCAGGTTAACGCAGCAGGTCCGTGCTGCAGACGTGTGCGCGCCCAGTTCGCGGGGAGGCGTTTGCAGGAGGTTTGTGCCTATTCGGGTCTTGCATACGGTTTCTGCACATTCACTTTCTGCAGCAGGCTTGTGTGTAATTAGATCAACAACGGGTGTTTTAATGAATCGGCAACAACTGAGAATTTTTTCATTTTCTACAAGAATTCTTATCAAGCTTTAATTGAGGAAAGGAGCCCTTGAACATCTTGGAAAAGCCTGGTGGGTCCCCC